CCCTAGTTAATTCATTAATCCTGCGACGATGATTTAGGCCTCCTCTTGGGTCATTGCCCATGCCTTGTCAATAATAATATTATGCTCTCAGTATGTAATTAATATCAATTGAGATGCAGCTTACATTCAATATATATAAGTATATATACGGTGATGGTGATAATAATGATGATGATTAAATAAAAAAATCAATTATAATTTATTAAATTGATATTTGTTTACTTGATAAGTTATCACATTTCAATCATTCTATCTCTCCTCATTTTTTTAGCAAACAACACACTTTTTTTTTTTTGAAATTTTGAGTTTAGCGGCTCCACACTTGTATCTAAATCAAATTTTATGAATTAATAATGTGTTTATACTGTGTTTTAAAAGAATTTTTAAAAACTTTAATTCTTTTATTTTAAATTAATATATTTTTAAAATTTTAATTTTTTTTTAATGTATTAGTTTTTAAAATAAATTTTAAAAAATAACTATAATAATACTTCTAAGCTAGGTGCAGCGCGTGGTAAACAGGGTACAACACCTCTAGTTCAATCAATGGCGCCGATCTTGACCCTGTTAGGAGAGATAGCAGTGGTGTCTGGTAGAGAGGGCAGCAGCAGAGATAATCTGATTGATTGCCATAATCAAAGCAAAGAGGTGCTTAGATTTGGTTCACGGAGAGCTAATCATGAAGTGGATCCATGAGCGGAGATCTCAAGGTGAGATGTTCACCTTTAGACACCCTTTTGGCTTTAATTAGGGCAATCCTCTCATGATAAGAGAGAGCAACACCACATACATATAATCGAACTTCCAAGTGATTGGATGAATAAATAAAGTAAAACCAAATGTCATTCTCTTACATTATTAATTGGAGTGCCAAAGATCACATCCTCCACTGGCACACAAGAGTCCGAACCCAGCACGAAGGCCATTTGAGCTATCATGCCTAAAGTCAATGGCTTTATTAATCCTCCAAGGCATGATTTTCAAAACCTTGATGGCTTTCTTCTCCGGAGGCATAATTTTCAAAACCCTATTATTGAAGGGGCCCTCCCGCGGTTTAATGTATATTATAATGATGTAGATAGATATGCTGCAGCTGCTGCTGCTTTCCATCATGAAACAAACATAAAAAGCCCACAACTCCTATTGCAGGATAACATATTATAATAATATAACCAAGATGATTTGTTGCTGTTGGTGTTCAGATGTTTAACCTGCTTTTTTTTATATATATATAAATTTCTTTGAAAAACAACCATGAAAAATACAGGAGCACTGCAGCTTTCAAATCCTAACAAGAAGGACCAACCCCAATTGCCCAAATCACCTGCCCTCCTTGTACTCATAAACAATTTCACCTTGTGTGCGTGGGTTTAGCAGCTAGCTAGTCCTACTGGTATCAGTTTTTGTGTAACGTGACTAAAGTTATCATTTGCTACCTTTTATTATAATAAGAAATATTTAAGCTTAACCCAGTATTTAAATCTCAATTGTAAAGGACAACGTTCTTCTTTGTGAAGTTGAATACCGTGGAAAAGTTCGGTGTGTTTTAAGGAATTTTTTTCTTTTGTAATTTCTCGCTTGCGTTTAAATAAAGATCGTACGGAATATTATAATCACCATTGGTAACTTTTTTTTTATAGTTTTTGATAAGATAATCTCATCCAGATATTTTCTTAACATCGGTCATGGTATAATCAGATAACAATTAATATATCCATGAGATCTCTTTTTTTCCTTCTTTCCTTTGAAATTTGTGCCCGTTTATTCTAATAATTTTGTTAAAAGTGATTTTCTCAAGCTCGACTTCTTGCAAAGCCACCATTGGAACCAAAATGTGTTCTTTTATTAATTTTATAAAAAATAAAAAAAAGTAAAGAAAAGAACAAAGAAGGTCGTAAAAAAAAGGAATAAGAATATTGAATTATAACAGTGGTTAAAGAGGAAGGAAGGAAGGAAGAACCAGAAATAGAGAGGTTAGACTTCAAAAGTTGAACAACCACAAGGTTTGTTGTTTATTTTTATCTCTTTCCCCTGCCATCTCTGCCAGCCTTTCGCGTCTTCTACGTCCACTTGCCCTCTCTGTCTCTTGCGATTTTGAGTTCTTTTCTTGGAGCTCAAAATTATAAACATACAATCTTTTGGTAACTTCTATAATTATCCCAGCGGTATGATATGATTTGCACAGCTAAGTAGCTCTCTCATTTTTAATTCATTTGGATTAGTGTAACTTTTTACTAGTTCGAGGAGCTCAGTTTTTCTAAAAATTCTCTTCCTTTTTTACTTATTTGCGTTCCAGTTCATTGGTTGGTTGCTAGGTAGGGAGTGTCTTCAGCTGTTCTTCAAGTTTCCAGTGTATTACCCCCTTTTGGGGTTTTTCTTTTCATGCGGACTGATAAAGTTAATTAATTTCCAAAATCTGATCTGGGTTTTTGTTGGTTTCAAATTTAATGATTAAAGAAGTGGAAAAGATCATTTCTTTAATCTAAAATATGCTTAAAATAGCTTAATTTGGAGGGTTTTTGAATCTTTGAGAGAGCCATTAAAAAATAGGTTTTTTGTCTGCTACTTTTTGTGAAACTATTGGTTAATTTATAGTTTGTTTATTTATCTATATATCTAACTCACTGGTGTTAAGGACGTTAGCATAAAAGAAAGATTATTTTCTGTGCTGTCAAATTATGTAACTGAAAAAAAGGAGCACTCTTTTCTTTTATTTCTTTTGTGAGTTGCATACAAACTGGGATTGTCTTGTACTCATGGGGGTTCTTGTCAAGCTTTTCATGTCTTGAAACTCTTGTCGGCTCCATATAGTTTCTGGGTTCTTTGAGCTTGTGCTGGAGTTCAAGAGAGGTTTCCAAAAAGTGCCGGAAATGGCCAAATAATTGAACTTTGAGGGCATTTCTTACTGAGCAGAAGCGTTGCTAACCAACAACCTTCACCATGCCTTTGTCTGAGCTCCTATATCGAATGGCTAAGGGGCAAACTGATTCTTCTCAAGAGAAGAATCCTGCTTGTTCAACTGATCTGTCTTTTGTGTAAGTTTCAATTTAACTTATTTATTTAGCTTCTTTATCTTGGATTAGTGGATCATCTCTACATTGAAATGTTTTCTTTCTGGTTTGCTTTCGTTTCTTGTGTCTTTTGGTATCCTTTAAAGCAGACCTGAGAATGATTTTGGTGAGCTAATATGGGAAAATGGTCAGATTCAATACAGTAGAGCTAGAAAGATACAAACTTGTAACAGCTTACCTCCCAAGATTAGAGATAAAGACATAGGAAATGGCACCAATACTAAAACAGGGAAGTTTGGAACGATGGAGTCTACACTGAATGAACTCCTTGCGGTTCCTGCTGTTGAAGTGAGGGCGAATCAAGATGATGACATGGTACCTTGGCTGAATTATCCGTTGGATGAACCTCTGCAACATGATTATTGTTCTGATTTTTTGCCCGAATTATCGGGGGTTACCGTAAATGAACACTCCTCCCAGAGTAATTTTCCATCGTTTGATAAAAGAAGTTGTAACCAGTCAATTACGGACTCCCATACTGTTTCGGTACACAATGGTTTGAACTTAGAGCAAGGAGATGTGGTGATGCATTCTTCAGCGGGAGATATTGAAGCGAAAAGGCCTGGAACCAGTGCTAGTCAGTTATATCCGTCATCTTCTGAGCAATGCAAAACATCATTTCCGTTTTTTAGATCCAGGGATTCAACTAAAAAAGGTGATAGTACAAGCAATGCTGTCCATCATGTCATTGCACCAGATTCTATTCGAGCTCCAACATCAGGAGATGGTTTTCCCAGCATAAAGATACAGAAGCAAGTTCCTGCAGCATCCCCTATCAACTCCAGTTTAATGAATTTCTCTCACTTTGCAAGACCAGCTGCTCTTGTAAAAGCTAATCTTCAGAACGTGGGCATGAGAGCTAGTTCTGGAACTTCAAGCATGGAAAGAATGCAAAATAAAGATAAGGGCTCATTTGGTTTGCCAAAGGAAACAGACTCCCATTGCCGTCCTAATATGATGTCATCCAAGGTTGAGGTTAAACCAACAGAGGTTAAGCCTGCTGAGGGATCTGTTCCTGCTCAGCTACCTGAGGCAATGAGACAAGGCTGAGCTACCTGAGGAAATGAGCCAAGAAGGTGACTCTAAAAGCGATAGAAACTGTCATCAAAATTCTGGTGAAAGTGCAATTAAAGGATTAGAAGATGTTGAAAAGACTACAGAACCTCTGGTTGCTTCTTCTTCTGTTGGTTCGGGCAATAGTGCAGAGAGACCTTCTGACGATCCAACTGAGAATCTGAAGAGAAAACATCGTGATACTGAGGAGTCTGAAGGTCCTAGTGAAGTGAGTTTCATACATAGGTTTCACATATTTTCAATGTTTTTTGCTCTTACGAGACTATATCTCTTTCTTCCATGAACCAAGGAGATAATCTATGTGCAGGATGCTGAAGAAGAATCAGTAGGTGCAAAAAAACCAGCTTCTGCTCGTGCAGGTAATGGGTCCAAGAGAGGTCGGGCAGCAGAAGTTCACAACTTATCTGAAAGGGTGGGCAAGAACATTCCAACATTTCTTCAGAAGATATGCGCTTGTTTGCTTTTGATGTTTTCTTTGGTAGCTATGAATTATTGTATCTTGATTGGTTTTCATTTGGAATTGAATAAACAGAGGCGAAGGGATAGGATCAATGAGAAGATGCGAGCCCTACAAGAACTCATACCAAACTGCAATAAGGTTGGATATTCATATTTATGTTTCTCAGTGAATTTTCTCCACGATCTTATGAAAATGAGGTTTTCTATAAAATTCAAGGATTCAAACATACACCAAGGCTTGGGAGTTAAACCTACACCAAACCTTGGCCTGATTGAAATCAAATTAATTCTTTCAAGTTTGTTCATGTTTATTGAAGTTCCAAAACTGTAAATGAAGCTTATCCATTCCAGGTTCTAGAGTTTTATGTTGGTCTAAGCTTTCCTTGAATTTCTTAAGTTGAACTTGTTGCTGTTATCCAGGAAATTTTAATGGAGTTTGAGTGAAGCCAAGTAATTAAGTGTAGATAATTTCATGTGCATCTTTGCTTTGGTTGACTTTGATGTTTTTGCATTATAAGGTGGATAAAGCTTCAATGCTTGATGAGGCCATTGAATATTTAAAGACGCTTCAGCTTCAAGTACAAGTAAATTCTGCCCATTCCTCTCAAAGTTTATTTAATAACTTCTTGAGTTGGATAATCAAATGACCTTTTGGATCACTCACCACCTTTATGCAGATTATGTCAATGGGAGCTGGAATGTACATGCCATCAATGATGTTACCTCCTGGAATGCCTCACATGCATGCAGCTCATATGGGGCAGTTCTTACCCATGGGTGTTGGAATGGGAATGGGTTTCCGGATGGGCATGCCTGACATGAGTGGTGGATATTCTGGTTGCCCCATGTATCAAGTACCTCCTATGCATGGAGCACATTTCCCTGGTTCGTCAATGTCAGGGCCTAGTGCTTTGCACGGGATGGGAGGACCTAGTCTTCAGATGTTTGGGCTTTCTGGTCAAGGACTCCCAATGTCATTTCCTCATGCACCCTTAGTGCCAATGTCTGGAGGGCTTCCTCCAAAAACAAACAGGGAACCTTGTGGGGTGGTAGGTCCTATGGATAATTTGGATTCAGCTACAGCCTCTAGTTCAAAGGATGCAATCCAGAATATCAACTCGCAAGTGATGCAGAACAATGTTGCCAATAGGTCAATGAATCAGACCTCTAGTCAGGTTTGTTACTTAACCAAGCTGCATTTTTCTATGAGAATGAAAAGCTCAGTATTGAATATGGCTAAATGGATTTTGATTTCATTATGATGCATGACGTGTGCTTTTCTTTCAGCAAGTGCCAATTCATGGTTCATCTTCACTCCCAAGAGAAAGAAAGCATTAGCTATAGGTGCACACATGAATTCCATCTAAAAGTTGCATTATGGAAAATTGCAAGTATGACTCATATAAACATGAAACTAGTAAATTCTCTATATAAAATCCTATATTTGTCTTTAAAGATGTAGTTCTTCACCCATCATCCCATGAAAACGAAAATTATGCTGATCACTCTAATTAATTTTCATTGGTGAAGGATATTCCCAAGGAAAACATTTTTTACTGAAATTCTCAAGGAAGAACTTAATTAAGACTCTCCGAACAGCCTTTTCTTCCAATGAAAATCAAACTGTAGTTTTCATCTCTCCAATTTATGTTCAAAGATTGTGGGCATATTTCAAATAGTAGACATCATTTAGAGTGCCATGTTCTTAACCTCCCTACCAGCCAAGAAGGCCGAGAAAAAATAAACAAGTGCAATAGCGAAGAAATATTATGCAGATACTTGAATAATTTTTTGTTAAAGTGGAAGAGGTCATAGCCACAGAAAATTATGCATTTAGCTTGTCTGAAGGAATGTAAATTTGGGCACTATATCCTATTGAATTCAGTATATGTTAATTTTGATAGTTGGGGTAACCTTTCAGAAAACTGAGTTCTTCAATTGAATTACCTCTGAACCTGAATCTAAAATTAGCTACATCATCCGTGATGCCAGTGCCAAGCAACAAATGAATGTTTTGAACAGCCTGATTTTGTGCAAAATAATGGTGAAGGCTCAGAAGTTGCTGAAAGTGGAGTGTTGAAGTCAGCTGGTGGAACTGACATCATACCTAGTAGAGCAACTGGTGAGTATTCGTCTATCATGGTTGGCTGTACTTAACATTGTTGTGAGATCTACTTAATCTGGTTTGTAGAGAAAAAAGATTTTTGTCAACATGAATTTGCTGCAGGTTGTGACTGATTGATAGGTCTGATGCATTGTCATTGGAGAGGTGAATCACCTTATGCTTCATATCGACGTTGAACTGCAGGTTGTGACTGATTGATAGGTCTGATGCGTTGTCATTGGAGAGGTGAATCACCTTTGCTTCATATGGACGTTGAACCTACTATTGTACACGGTAAATCTGTGGGATGCTGGGCACATATGAATATGTGAAAAGGTTCCATGGTTTAATGAAGTCGAGCTCTTACAATAATTATTGGAGTTCTAATTTCAGGGAAGTAGAATTACAATTGCCCAGATTTTGGTATGTTGAGGAAACTCAAGAACGGTCTTACTTGCATCTGTATGTATATTTACTTACACAACCTGAGCAAATAATAATGCAATGTCTAGGAGCAAAGCCAACTCAAGAAATATGTATTTGAAAGTTTGTTGTAGTAGATCTCTCATACAAATTCTTTGAACTAATGAAAAAATACTTGATTTTCCAGTACCTCTCGCACCCCCCCTATCATTTCACTGTGAGCATGCACAGAATAGCTAGCAATAAGATGGAAAATGTGGTTAGGGTTTTGCAAATTGTTTGTTTGATTTATTCAGTTCGATTTTTCTTAAATTGAACAGAACCAAATTTATGAAAAAATCTGAGTTGTGTAAACCTAGATGTTCCGGTTTGGTTTATAGTCTCCACCCCCACATCTGAATCTGAATAGCAGGTATTTTAATATCTTTCATTTTCTAGCATCTCTACATCATCGTGGACTCCTGAATCTTCAATATCTTTGTTCTTCATAGTGACTGGTGTTTCGATGTCAGCTTCAGTGAGACACGTCTCACCAGGCATAAAATGTGCAGTCTCATTAGCACTTGAATGAGCTCGAACCAGTTCTTAGTCCTCTGCTCAAAATCCTGGAAAGCCAATTTAAATGGGGAGACAACCATTGGTATTTACCTAGCTGGAGGTTCTCACTCATTGTTTCATCCTCCCTCGCCTCCATTTCTTCATTTTCTTGGTAAAAAAGGGCGATGGTATTTTGCCTCAAGAGAAGTGAATCTATTCCACCAGTTGACTTGTGTAAAAGTTACAAAAGAATCCAAACCATTATTTAATCAAATACGCAAATCAATCTTATCAATGAGTACATAATTTTGATGAGAGAGTATTTTTGACAGCACTAACATAAATTTGACTGGAAAGCTCTTTTCTACTGATCAAACCCATCAACACACCAATCACCAGCACACTATCATGTACCCTTACAACTGAATGAATAGAGAAAACAAATGGAAGAAAATGCCTTTTTACACACCTATATACTTCACAATGCAAGATTTCATATCTCTGCAAGTATATGCACGCTTTGTCATTAAGATCCCTTTAATTATTGACTGTAACATCACCCTTGCTATCAGAGGAGACGGTTTTTGGAGTTGGCGATTTCCCGATTATAGCTTTCTTTGCCTTTACAAGTGATTGCTTTACCCTTGTTAAAATGTTGTTTGAATGCTTTTGAGTAGACTTGGCTGGAACTTCTCTTGGCAGATCCTGTGATTCTTTTGCGTCTTCAGCATCCTTGACAGAATACTCTAAATTCTGCGTGTCAGATTTGGCAATCTCGTCAACCTTTTCCTGCTCAGAGTTCTCTTCAATGGTTTTTGCAGTTTCTCCTTCTTCTTTTGCTTCTGACACAGAATCTTGGGATTCTTTAACTGGTTCACTGACAGCTGTAGTGGCTTCATCAAGCTTTCCCTCTATGTTCCCATCTTTGTGGGTTTCATCTATTGGTATCTCCTCTTTCTTGTTTTCTAAAGCTGGTTCAACACTTTCAACTGTTTTCTCTCCCTCAAATGATTTTTCAGTGATTTTGGCGTTTGAAGCAGCATTGCTGACCTCTTCCACCTTGATGGGCTGAGCTGGTTCCTCTTTTACTGTATCACTTGCTATTTTCCCGCCCTCTGCTTTGATTGTCCCTGCCTCTCTCTCTTCTCTATCCTTTTCCGCTTCTACCACAATCTCTTTCAATGACGCTTCAACCAAATCAGTCCCTTCAGCCTCTGGACCAGCTTTTTGTATGATTTCAGGAGGAGAAGATTTTCCTCCATCCTCTTTAATCTCAGCTTGAGCTACCTGAGTGATTGCAGCAACTTGTCCTTGCTTTTCATCTGTTGACTTAATCTCAACCTGTTCACTAACTTCAGATTGTCCCTCAGGTTTCACCACAACTTCATGTTCCTCTGTTTTTTCATCTAGTTTGGAGACTTCAGATTGTTCCTCCAGTTTCACACCTGTCTCAGGAATCACTGATTCTGGTTTTTCAATTTGTTCAGCGACTTCAGATTGTCCCTCAGGTTTCACCTCCACTTCTTGTTCCTCTGTTTTCTCATCTAGTTTGATAACTTCAGATTGTCCCTCTAGTGTCGCCTCAGTCTCAGGAATCACTGATTCTGGTTTTTCAATTTGTTCAGCGACTTCAGATTGTTCCGCCTGTTCTCTGATTACAGATTGTCCCTCAGGTTTCACCTCAACTTCATGTTCTTCTGTTTTCTCATCTAGTTTGGTGACTTCAGATTGTTCCTCCAGTTTCACCTCAGTCTCAGGAATCACTGATTGTGGTTTTTCAATTTGTTCAGCGACTTCAGATTGTTCCACCTGTTTTCTGATTACAGATTGTCCCTCCGGTTTCACCTCAACTTCTTGTTCCTCTGTTTTTTCATCTAGTTTGGTGACTTCAGATTGTTCCTCCAGTTTCACCTCAGTCTCAGGAACCACTGATTCTGGTTTTTCCATTTGTTGAGTGACTTCAGATTGTTCCTCTTGTTTAACCTCAACTTCAGTAACTACTGGTTCTGGTTTATCAACTTCAGGAATTACTGCTTCTGGTTTATCAACTCCAGGCACTGCTACTGGATCATCAATATCTTTTAATGGAACTGCTTCTGATTCTTTGATAGGATGAACGTCCAATGAATCCTGTGTTTCCTCAATTGCCTCAACAGATTGTTCCTCGGTTTTTTCTACATGTTCAGTGACTTCAGACTCTAGTTTCACTTCCCTAAGTTCAGGAACTATTGTTCCTACTTTATCAGCTTCTTTAAACAATTCTTGTGAGTCGTCAGTATCTTTTACTTGAACTGCTTCCAATTCTTTGATAGGAAGAGCTTCCACTGGCTCCTGTATTTCGGCAATTACTTCAACTGATTTTTCTTTGGGTTCAACTTTAATGACTTCGGATTGTTCTTCTGATTCTGTCTTATCATCTTCTTTGGACACTAGTTTTGAATCTTCACTATCTTTTACCACAATTGCTTCTGATTTGACAGGAAGAACTTCCAAAGGTTCCTTTTGTTGCTTAGTTGCTGCTTCTGTTTTTGGCTCTTCAACTTGTTTACCAACTTCTGATTGCTCCTGTAGTTTCACCTCAACTTCAGGAATTATTGATTCCACTTTGTCAACTTCTTTAGACACTGCTGAATCTTCACTGTCTTTTGCCTCAATTGGTTCCGACTCTTTGATAGGAAGGACTTTTGATGGCTCCTCTGTTTTTTCAATAGCTTCATGTAGTGATACTGGAATATCAACCATCTTTGGTTTTTCCTGTAGCAATTCCTCCACGAATGTTGATAATTGTTGCTCTTCTGCTTCTTTCAAAACAGAATGTATAGCTGGAGCAACTGGTTCGGCATTAACAACATCGGCTGCCAGAGCCAGAACACCAGGTGTGTGTGAGTCAGAAATAGAATCCTTTTCCAACTCATTTTTATCATCTACTGGAACAATGATAGCAGGAACATCATCAATCTTCTTAACCACAACTGCTGGAGGCTCGACCTCATTATCTTCCACTGCTTCTGATTTATCTAACAGGGTTGGTTGACTTGCTAGTTCATTAGGCTTGAGGTCGTCTTCTTCTGGCTTCCCTGCTAGAGAAACAGTTTCAGGTTCTACAGGTTTTACTTCTTCGGTCACCTTGTTCTTAATTGACTGCAAGAAATGAACCAGAAAATTAAATAGGAACATTCTTATATATTTTAAAAGCAAAAAAGAAAAAGAAAAATAAAAGATAGAAACTATCGTGAAGATGCAAAAATAAAAAGATGGCGAAAACTGTAATCAAATATTAAGAAATTGAAATAAAGCTATGCACCGCTACGTAAACTTATTAAAGCACTGCAAGTATTATATCTCTATCTCCCTCATTGATCATGGCATTTAGATATTGATAATGTATGTTGAAATTCTTAAATAATGATATGAATATCATGTCCCCATCGCAAACCGGGAAAAAGAGGTTCCTTGCTGGTATAAAAGAGCCTTGATGGCTGAACCAAGCAAGTGACAAGCTGAGACAAATGCAGAAGGGAGCCACCATGTTAGAAAATTCATATCCTACTCGATAGCTTATGCAATAAGATGGGGCAGGACTCCTACCTTCCATTATAATTTTGGTATTTTATTGCCATGAGATTAATTTTCTTAAAATGAAATATCTTATATATTCTTAAACTAGCAACTTAAGAGTGACAGTAGCTTTGAACAGATTTCAGAAGATGGTATTGTATGTTCCAACTCAACTTAAGACTGATGATTGATATATAAAAGAAAGTTATCATTTATTTTCCAGAAAATTATGAAAGGGGGGCACATTCAAAAAGAGATTTTCTTCTTCGTTTTTTTTTTCTGTGCTGTCAACTACAGACACTTCTCAAACTTCTGATACAGTAAATAGAGTGAGACATGCATCTAAAACTACCATTATTCAATCGTTCATGGATGATATCTAAAAGCAATCAGAAGTCTTATGATTACCCATACAGTCAGATAAGCTAAATCTATGATCATATAAAACGTTCATGGAAGTCCAGGGGTAACAAAGAAGATAACAAAACGCTACATGGATCTTACCGAAACATCAAAGATCATATCGTTACGGTAAGTCTGAAACGTAAAAATATGGGAAAGAATAAAAGAATCCCATGAAGTATATATGTTTGATCAAGTAAGTAAACAGTATTTGAGGGAATGAATAGTTTGACCAGAATTAAAGATAGGCAAGATGATGATATAAATACCTCATGATCAGAAGTAGGAGTTTGATGTGATGGTGCAGTCTCAGTCGCCATGAGGATTGGTAGATGCGGAGAAGAGAGATCCTTTCAAAATTAAGTTGATGATAAGAGATTCTGTGTAGCAAGTGAAAAAAAGAAAAGGAAAGGAAAGACAGTGGCCGCTGGCAAATAATCAAAAAACCAAAAAAGTGTAACAGCAACAGCAGCAGCAAAGGAGAAAAAGAGTAGTGTATGACAGACTGTATATCACATGATCAATCCAAAATGAATGATTAGGATTCCATTTAAATTTATATCTTGAAAGCAAAAGAAAACAAAGAAGAATGGGCTGGATTGGATAATTAAAGTAAGAGGGCAACAGGCAATAGCATTTTTCTTTTGGGGTAGCAGACAAAGTTCAAGGGGGACCAGATCCCTTCCTCCCCAAAGAAATGCTTTTCATTTTTGCTAGCTGTTAACTGTCTAAAGTCTTTCTTTAGAATAATGCAGGTGGTGATGTGCTTTCATCTGGGCCTGAACTCTGTAGTTATTTGGACTCAACATTCAAAATGTAAAGTATCCCAAAAGTCCACACGAAGAATTAAAGGTCCAGTTTTCGGTATCAAGTCGTGCTTCTGTGTTGAATGGTTGGGTAGGGCTGTTGAGCACTTGAGTAGTGTGAAGGAAAGTGAGCTTGAAATTGGCCCAGACAGAAACTTGGATTTGAAGATACTGGAACAGGTCATGTGTCAGCTCCTGTATTGGTGTTTTTTTGGATGAATTTTCTGCTTCTTGTGTGAAACTGATTAGACAAGTCTAATCAAAATCTGTAAAGTATGCTCCAATTAAACCTCCCCAACACACTCATCCCGCATTAAAATGCCAAGCAATACAGCCTCCTCAAAATGAAAAGTAATGATGTAAATGTGGCAAGAAAGTTGACTATGATTTCCCACTACAAAGCTAAAAGCAAACATCTAATTATGCTACCATGGGACAAACTCAACCAGACAAAAGGCTTATATATATATATATATAATTTCATTGGAGCAAAGGCCTTGAGGCTTTTTGATAATTGATGATGTTCCCTTCCAATTAAAGTAAATTTCCACTATAATCTTGTCTTGATGGCCTTGTTGAAAATAAATATATAAATAACTGGATGTTGATAATAACCAGAAAAATAAAAAATAGAGAATTTGCAGCAAAGAACAAAGAGCAGAATGTTTTTCATAGGTTATTGGCATCTCTTAGCTTTTATTTATAAATGAAATCAATAACAATAAAATTAAGAAACGTAACTAACATAAACTTCTTTATTTATGAAGTTATGTAACTTATCCTAAATAAATTTCAAATTTAAAAAAGTAAAAACAAACTAAACAATATCAAGATAATAATAAACTTTAATAAAAAATAACATACAGAGACATTAATTTCAGCTTTGATGCCATAACCTCAACAGGCATTACCTTCATCCCTTTAAGTTGAAAATCAAATGCTATTACTGTTACTGATCTTTTCTTTACAGAATATGCTTTGATTACACGCTGTGAATGTCATTTGGACACCACTGTTTAGCTCAGTGATGAATGCTAATGAGATCTTAAGGTTCCATTTATGGTAAGCAACCTAATGATAGCAACCTTCATGTTTCTCTCGTCATCATTTGTTGCTGTGATAAGACTAAAGCTGATCAAAAGTTTAGTTGCTTAGTTAACTGCAAAACTTACTGATATCCATGTGCTTATGTTTCCAACTTATTCTTAATGGGCCAGTCAAGAATAATGCTTCATGATAATGATATCCTATTAAGGTCATCTCAAAAGGACCCCCCCCCCCCCCCC